TTAGACAGGAAATAATTAAATGTTTGAATTTGCTTTGAAAATGCTTCAGAACAGTTTAATCACCTGATTTATTTTGCACAATAAACTGTATCTTTTTCAGCAAAATAAAAACTTTCAATAAATATATAGAATAAAAATAGAATAAATAAATAAAAACAGTTTAAACAGTATACATAAAGTATTATAAAAACAATTAAAAAGTTAAAAAAACTTTTTAAATGTTTTTATTCAGCAAAATGTTTAAATCAATTTAAAAAATATTTCAACTTAAAACAAATCAATCATGTAACTTAATTTATGAATAAAATAAATTTTTGGTCATCAACTTTAGACTTAGTGTAAGTATTCTTTCATAATATTGTACCATACATATCAGTATGCACAACATGACAAAGGTCAGTTTTCATTCATTCTTTTTTCTAATGGAATAAGAAAAGGAAGGAAAAAATTATCACATGAGCATGCATAATTTTGCTTTTGGAATAAGCTCTGAAAGTATTTTAAATATAAAAAAAAATACTTTTAACAAAAAAATTTCTTTGAATAAAAAAAAGTAACTTACAGATTTGCTCTTTTTCACAGCATCAATGAGTTTTTTAAAGTTATCAGCATCGTTATCTGTCTGTAAAGAAACATTTTTTAATTATATAAAATTAAAAAATTTAAAGAACACACTATATACAATTTTAACATTATAGACTAATTAAAAACACAAAATTTAAGAAAAATAAACTACAAAAACAGGGTTCCCACTATTAAAACTGATGCTAAAAATAAGGATATTAAGGAGATTTAAGGAGATATTTCCCTAATATTTAAGGCGATATTTTCCTAATATTTAAGGCTATTTGGTTTTCGAACAACACTTCACAAAAATGTTAGATTAAGTAAAAGAAAATTATAGTTAAAAATTCAATTTTAAAATATTTTACTAATTTCAGGTATCTGTACTGGAAAGAGAATGTTCAAAGATCCAAAAATTCAAGTTAGGATAGATAAAAGAAAACTGGCTTACTACATCTGTTAAGCAAATTTTCAGTTATGCTATGTTGCTAATGATAAGACATTTGTAAGAAACTGTGCTCTCAAATCAAATTTGGCAGTATAGACAAATCCAGATAAATCTCGTGATCTGCCAATAAATCTCATGATCTGCCAAACAATTTTCTATCAGTAGAAAGAGCTGTAAAACTCATCTGAATCCTCTAGAAAGATTCAAGAGAAAGCGTAGAAAATAATTTTATTCTAGCTAAAACCTGAGCTGGAATAAATACAAAAGAAATGCAAATCATTAAGATTAATTTTACCGTTTATGTTACAGACATTTTCTTTCTTTTTAATTGAAGTTACATAAATTGACAAACATTTTCTTTTTAAAGGTATGACATACTTCAACAATTGAAGTGTTTAAAAACACTCAGTTCAATATTTCTTTCAAGAACTATAAAAAAAGGTTTTTGTTTTGTGCAAGAGAATGTTAGAAATAAAAATTTGTTTGAAAAAAAAATGTTTTTAAAATAAAATTGTTGAAGTTGAAGTGTTTAATATTTATGCTCCTGATTATGGTATGGTAACAAAATTTAATTACTTTTAAACACCATCAATTTCAAAAAGCTTTCTGTAAACAATCAAAACTTAAAAATCAGTTCATAAATAAGGATTTCTCAAAATATTTTTTTAAATATTTGTGAAAACACACAAACTCCCATTGTAAATAATGGTAGCTTGTAGTCTTGTTGGAAGTAAATTTTTTTTCAAAAAGTGAAAAACAAAAAAAGCAATTGAATTACTTTTTTTTTTTTGATAATGTGCAAGAAGATAGAAATGCATCATGTAAGCTAACAGAAACAGCTTTCTTAATTTCAAGGGTTGTTTGGACTAGTTTAGCTATTTACTAACAAAGAAATTGATTATTAGATTTAATCCATCTTATTGATTGAAAATTTATTTAGCTTATTTTGTTTATTTTTCAGAAAAAACAGGCTATTTTTTGCATGGTTGGAAATTCTAATTGTAACACAAAAATAAAATAATATTTTATATATGCATCAATCATTTATAAATGTGAGCAAAAAAAACTTCTTTTGAAAAACCCTGATATATAAAGAAAATCAATTAATTAGTAATAAATATTGCAGGTCATTAAAATTTAATTAAATAATATTTAAAAAGTGCAGTAAAATCATTACCTTATTTCTCAAAAGAAGAGTTACTGGTGGTAGACCTTCAACTTTTGTTTGAATAGGTTTTAGAAAATCTATTTTTTTTTTGCTAGCGAGGAAATATATATGTGTTTCACATAACACCATGAGAGTATCAGTTAGTTCGTAGCCTAAAAGCCATTGCTAAACAATAAAAAAAATATGTTATTAAAATTTTACAGTTAACACCTAGAAAAAAGGCAAATTTAAAATATCTAATGCCTTTATCTTTTGTCTGCATTTAACTCTTTCAAATTTCTTTGATTCTTTCAAATACTTTAAAATACCTCATTTTTTATTATGTTCATCTTATATACTGCATTTAAGAGTTAACACCCAAAAAAGGCTTAAAATAATCTAATAATAACTTTAATAATAAATTTTAGTTGTTTTGACTATTTGTATTGTGATTACTTTTTTTTTTAATGTTTAACACCCAAGGTTCTACACTTGCGACGTTTACACAGCTTTCTATAAATCCATTTTTTTATTCAAATAATAAATAAGAGTAAAAGCAAATGTTACAATTAGATGCTCTTTTTAGTACTAACCAGTTTTTCAGATCAAGACTATTATTATTATTTTTTTAATGTGTGATATGACCTCATGAGAACTATCTATTGTTTATGAGCTTCATTTAACTTTACCCAAAATTAAATTGAGATCTTCACATCAGAGTTTTTTTATTTCTAGGTAAGCTATCACATGTATTACCACACAAATTTCGAAAGTTCAGTGGAGTTGGCCTTACTTTTATAAACAAAGGAGTTTTTATGTTTATACCACCTGTCTTTGAAAGTTTTCTCAGTAAGCCCAACGTAATAATATCCTTCTTCTTCTTGGTGAGTTTTTGCGTTGCAAATATAAATAAGATTTTTTGTAAGGCATTTTCCATTGAGTGGGCATAAGGTGGTTTGCCGACAATTGCATAATTGATTGGCATTTTCATGAGAATGAAATAATATCTTTTTATTATGAGAAGTAACAATACTCTTGATGTTTGGAAGTCAGCTATAACTAACCTTTAAGTTGTTTCGATTAAAAAGTTTGTGAAATTTGTGGCCTTTAGGGAAACATTTATCAATTGCACTCAAAAATGTTTTGGCTACGTTTGTTCTGACGTTGAGTGAATAAGGTGGGTTAAACCAGATAATGTTTCTTTTTCGAGATTTTTTATTATATTTCTGAATATTTGGAGTGAAATTGATCTCATCTTTGAATCCACAAGAATTGAGAGCGTTATTATAAAATGGTGCGGCTCTATCAAAAGCTTCTTTGCTTGAAGATCAATGCAAAAATTTCTTTTGCTCAATGCAAAAATAAAGGTATAGAACCTATATTAAAATGGAATATCCTTGATCAAGCGGAGTCATTCAAACCTGGTGGTAAATTCTGCAATTTATGCTTGACAGAAAAATACCACATTATTATGTCGCTATTGAATTTGCTTAACAAACGAACCGAGGTTGCGTCAAAATGCCACCATGAAAATAAATTTCTAATAAAAAACTTTAATGTCATCAAAGCGGACACTCCATAGCATTTTTTGTATATAATTTTTGTTGTTACTTTTTTATTGTTGTTACATCTGATGATCGCTATTGCGTGAAACTTTTAGTTATGTAATTGAAATATATCTTTAATTATTTAGTTTTCACTATATTATTTGCTCTACTAATTATATAAAACGCTGTATTGAGCACTCTTACTGGAAATATTAACATAATTCCTACAATATATATATATATATATATATATATATATATATATATATATATATATATATATATATATATATATATATATATATAAAATCATCATTCTTGCTCGATCTTCTATCAGTTTAAACTACATAAAATGTTTTAAATTTAAAATATAATGACTTCTCTTTATTCTATTTATTTATTCATGTTTAACCTTTTATTTGACAATGTTAAAATTAAAATTTAACTGACAAACAAAAGGTTACACATTATTAATGATTCGCAATTCATTTTACGCGGTTCAAAATTTATGATGCAATTATAATGTCTAAAAAATGATACATTAGATTTTTTAATTGAAATTTTAAATTGAAAAGAAAACGTGAATCAAAATTTTATTTTTTAGATTTAATTTGCAAAAATGAATCATCTTATACTGCCGGACAACCATGACATTACACCCTTGGCAGATGTTAGTACAAGTTATTTGAGAGATTATTACAGGTCATTATTGTAGTGGCTTCAAGAATAAAATTTTTGTAACAAAATAGAGAAAGAATTTTTAAAAGAGTTATTCGCATTCTTAAATTTATTAAAATACTTTAAAAAATTTTATTATGATTTGTTTATATAGTAGTGTAAAACTTTTTTTTTTTTAAACAAACAAACAAGCAAAAAAATATATCTTTTGCCCAGGAAGATTGCTTTTATTGATACCATCTTTAGACTTTACTAAACCAAGAGCTATAAGTCAAAAGGTAAATAAAGTCAGTTAACTAGAAAAGCAAATCTTACTAGGCAGATAATCATACAGTAGATTGTACTAGATTACATGTTACCAGGGTGATCACAATGAAACTAATCTTGACCTGAGTAGAGAATACTTTACAGAACATGAGTAGAATAATACTTTACAGAACATGAGTAGAGTAATACTTTACATAAAGTAGAATTACAAAGTATGAAGAAAACTATAAATGACATCATGAAATCAAGTGAAAGATCGTGAAATATCATGAAGTCAAAGGAAAATGTGTTTAAGAAAATTTTGATTTTAGATAATTTTAATAAAAATTAAAATTATCTAAAAACTATTTTTGAGAGTATTTTTTTTCAATATAGATTTTTTATATTCATAATTAAATGAGTAAAAAACTTTTTTATCCTGCAAAATATTTCAAGATTTTTTTTTATTTTCATATTTTTTGTTTTTAACTTAAAGAAAGATGTGGTAAGTTTCAATGTCTCGTAAGCCAGCACTCTGCAACTACACCAATGTTACTTAATACTTAAAATTTATAATATATAATACTTTTCTTTTTTTATAAATTGACTAAAAAAATATTGGAAATCTTAAATTTTTCATTATTTTAAACCCTAAATATAGAATGTTACTTGAAGAGCAGTTGATTTGCTGTAAATAATGTCTTCATCCTGTCCAACTATAGTAACAATTGCATCAGTATTTATTGTCAGACTTTCATCTTGTGTAAATTTCTAAAAAAAAATTTCATTTGAAAAAATACATTCAGTTAAAACATTGATTATACTTTATTATATATTGTCTTACAAAAATTATTACATATATTATATATATTATAGATCATCCTAGTCATATTTTAAAAATCCGGAAAATTGTTTGAATGAAATCTTCGGAAAAAATTCGAAATTTGTTTTCCCTTATTTTCATTTTTAATTTCGCTTTTAGCTAAGTTGTTTTTAATTTTTTTTTGGACACTTTCCATAATTTTTCTATCAGTGATGAGTAAAAAACCTAAAAAACAATTATATTACAAAAATATATACCTCAACTTGCATGTATTGAAAATGTTTTGAAAGGGTTCCCACTATTAAAACTAAGGCTAAAATTAAGGATTTTAAGGAGATTTAAGTAGATATTTTTCTAATATTTAATGAGATTTGGTCGCGAACGACATTTTTTTGAAAGAAAAAGTAAGGATAATTAAGGAGAAAATGATTACATTAAAAACCTTATCTTATTTTTTCCAATAAATTTTAAATATAAACAGAGAAATTATTATTACTTTATATATATATATATATATATATATATATATATATATATATATATATATATATATATATATATATATATATATATATATATATATATATATATATATATATATATATATATATTAATATATATATATATATTAATATATATATATATATTAATATATATATATATTAATATATATATATATATATATATATATATATATATATATATATATATATATATATATATAATATATATATATATATATTAATATATATATAATAACAAAAATAGGTTTGAAAACTATCAAAAATCTATATATTATCTTCTTTATTAACAAGTATAACCCATTCACTTTATAAAATTTTTCTAGTTAAAAAAAAATAAGGAGAAATTAAGGAGAGTAGTCAAATTTTAACTTTTTTCAAGGTTATTTAAGGACATTTAAGGAGGTTTTTATTTTTTAAGGATATTTAAGGTTTTTAAGGAGGTGTGGGAACCTTGTTTGGATATCCGGAAAAACTATAAGTTAAAAAAAAACTGTTTAATACCCCGTTCATACTGACGATAAAAACACACTGTAATTTAAAAGCGTATTAAATAATATTGTAAATGCTATATAAAGCAGGGTTGGCAAAAAAAACCCAACCCAAAAAAACCCAATAAAACTTAAAATATATTTGGTTTTTTTTTTTAAATGTCCTATTTTAACACTTATAAATGCTTTATTATCAGCAAGTGCAACTTTTATACTGTAATTACTCTTGTAAACACTGTATTTATATACAAAATGGTATTTAGAATATATCCAAAACCGATCTATCTGTTTTTGTAGCAAGTTAGTTATTTATTACTTTTTTAAAACATATAGCAAGTTATTATAAATGTTATAAAATATGTATTAAAACATTAAATTAGTTGAATACTTATAAAGGAAATAAAAATCATTCTATTAACTAAATTTCAAGACATTACTAGTTATTTAGTACCTTTATTCTCCTCTCGAATGTCTATATTTATATGAGCTTTTACTTTTTAAAGCTTATGTTGTAAACTGCAAATTTTAGTACAAAGCCACAAGCAAAATACTATATATAAAAATTATTAAACTTTATTCACAGAATAAAAATGGAAAGTTGTCAGGCAAAAAAAAAATGCTACAGTTTACTAGACTTGTCCTTATTAAGTGCATACAACTTTAAAACATAAAAAAAATTAAGTTATGAACAAGCAAGTTTGCAACATGTTTGCTAATTCAATGAGAGAACATGTTGAAAACTTGTATGCACTTCACAAGGACAAGATAAGTTGGTGAAAATGATACTTGTGCTCATCTGTCTATTTTACAGGTTTTGAATATTTTACATCAGCTACAAGTTTACAACATGTACCAAAAACGCCAACAACAACTATGAACAGCGGGTTGAAAATGAACACTAGTATCAAGTTGCTAAAAGGTGAAGAAACACACACAATAGAGCTATATATTGTGTTACTTTGATTCAGTTGCAAAACTGAGCCAGTAAAACATCTTCAAGGAAGAAATAAAGAATCTGGTGGTAAAGACACTAATGGTTTTTAACAAATTCATTTTAGATACTTCAAAAACAACCAAAGCTTAGGCAAAAATCCATTTGCAAAACAAATCTACTCATAAAAAATAAAAACACTATGAAGTGTCAATATCATCTAAAATCGGCAAATCATTTTAAAAATACGAATATGATCATATAAAGTAAGAAAATTAAGATAATTACTACATAATGTTGATCAGGCCGATAACCTTTCCAGGAAGCTGGACAGTATAATGCTCTGTTAAAAAAAAATGTAGTGATTAGGCTAACAGTTTTTCTTCTATTATGCAAAAATGTTAAAAAAAATTTGGTTCATAGTCATCCTGATTGACAATAACTTACAAGGTTGCAACATCATATTGCAAACTTGTTGATTACATGTTGTAAGCTTGTGCAAACTAGTTTTTGAAATGATATGTTGAACATGTTAGTATAAAAAACTAGTTTGCAACAATTATACTTTCTTATTAATATTAAATAACTCAATTGTCATAAAATTTTTTATAGTGATTTTTTTTTTAATCAAAAATAATCTGACCATGTTTTTAATTTAGTGCAATTAACATCATTTATAGTTGATGGAGTCCCCTTTTGCACTATAGGTAAAATGTGCTAGTAGGCTAGTGGTAAAAAATTTGACTTGCAATCAGAAGGTTAGGGTTCAAATTACCTCTGCTGAAATTACTGTGCTCAATCAGTATTTTTCTGCACAGCGCCTTTGTTTAAAAATTTTAGTTGTTAATGTTGTTTGTTAGTAAAAATGGTAATGTTAAGGATACAAACAAAACATTTTTTAAAAATGAGTTGGTCTCTGGACTGAAATGGTCATTGGAGCAATAGGGAGGTGAATTTATGAAATTAAAAAAAAATTATTTTACACACAATTATAAAAATTTGGTGTTTTGATCAGTTTTATCAGTTATTACAAATTCCCAATTTTGTTTAAATGCTGTATAAAACTTATTCCTGGCTTGATAGCCCTGATTGAATATTTTTAAGAATGGCCAAAAAAAGTTTAATTAGAAAAGAAAAAATCACAACAAAAAAAAACAAATCACAAAAACATTTTTGTGTGCAAAAAACAATTGTGATAGGCTTAACTTGAGCCCTGCAATTAATCATAAATATGATTTTAAAGATTTTTTGATATGTAGCAAGAATTTAAAGAGGCCCCTAAATTATTTGGACCTAGGAAAAAATTGTCATATTGTTGGAGCATTTAAATTATTATTATTTAATATTATTCTGAAAGTCCTTATAACCTACTGTTACAAAATCGCTAACCTCTCCCCCCTCTTAATAGCTGATGTAATTTGTGGATGACACCTAATATATAATATAGTATATAATAAATAAATAAATAAAATAGAATATTTAAATGATATAATACTGAAAAATAAAAAATTAATAAATATTACTTTATTATTTTTATTACAATATTTTTTGAAAAAAAAAAGATTTTTTACCAGGCTGTTACAAATGAAAAATTAACTTTTAATGTATAATTTTTATTTGTACCCACTTGTGGTACAAATATAAATTCTTCTGACGCAAATCTGAAGCAAATCTGAGATAGAATCCATGAATCTATTAGGTAATTTGATATGGAATGGCCTATTATTTGCAAATAAAAAAAACCTATCTACTTGTATATCCATGCCAAAATATAACAGTGAATAATAAAGAATTTATAGAAAATTTAATCAGTTAAATATACTATTTAGTCAGTTCAAGTTGATATATAGTATGCGAATAATTTTTCTAAAATTAGATAAATATGGGATTTTCTATTTTATTACAACTTGTTTAGTTTTAGGACAAAAAAAAGTAAGTTTTATTCAAATAAAAATGTCATAACAACAATTTATTCAAACATGACTAAGTTAATCAAAAATAAAGAGATACCGCTAAAATTTTGATATATATTACTTAATATAATTTAAAATATTATTCTATAATTTATTCAAAGTTAATATTAAATTAGGCTTACTTTCCAATATTGATAAACATTTTGAATTCTTTTAAAAAATATATCCTTATCAACTAAAACGTTTGCCATTCTATTAATGACTCTTAGGAATGATGTTATATTGACTGTAGGGTCACAATCTTTTACTAATCGATAAAGAATAATCAATTAAGAATTGAACAAAATAAAGTGTAGCACGCTTTGGCGGGAATAGACAGTTCTTCGCGGACTTCGACTGTTCTCGCGAACAAGGGCTACTCAAGAATTTTTTGCTAGTAATTTTTTTTTCCATTTAGTTTATTTTTTAATGATTTATTTTAAATTTTAGTAAGCTAACCTACACTTGAAAATTAAAAAACTTAAACAGGTAACATGAGGTTGAACAACACTCCCATATTATTTTTAGTTAAAAGTATTTAATTTAATTTTAGTTATAAGGCTTTAGTTTAAACTCATTTTTTAGCTCAATAAACTCAAAGGGGTTTGGGGTAGCCTAGCCACGGCTCTGCCAACTATATGGATAAAGTTGGCAGAAAAAAAAGATAAAGTAAGCAATGAAATAAAAAATTGGCATTTGCTCATAGGGAATTTGGGTGTTTTAATTGATAATCTTAAAGAATGTAGTGACATTTATAAAAAATATTGTAAAGAAGAATTAGTAAATGAAAAATTCTCTGCAATTGAAATTGTAAATGCAACAAGTTCTGTGGTGGAAATGTCAAAAACTGTTTTGATTATAGGAAATGCTTTTATTAAAAAGTCCATATTAAAGCTCAAAATACTATAAATGACAAATCAGATGCATCAGCATTGATAAGCCATAACACAGGCTTACGTCCACATACAATTACGGACAATCAAAGATCGCATTTACTCCAGTTAGGGCCAAGTCAACCAAACTTGCAAGTTTACCAAATGACGGGATTTAATCCCCAGTGGTAAAAAGAGTTTGAACATTTAAAATGAAGGATGCCGCATTTTGTTTTGTCTGCTGTCTTTTTACCGAGGGTGTTGAAAAGGAGGGAAAAACTGAAGATTATTATTATTATTATTATTATTATTATTATTATTATTATTATTATTATTATTATTATTATTATTATGTATTTTGCCGTTGAAAAAAGTTTACAAGTTTGTCCAATACAATATATAATACATGACTGGGGCAAGAAGAAGACTAGTTTAGTCTTATCGCCAAGCTCGTTTAAATAAAACTGACAATATTAAAAATACAAAGCAAAGTAACTCGTCAAATAAACGTTAAATAAAACGTTGCGTTAAAATAAAATAACGTTAAATAAAATGTAACGTTAACAAACAAACTTGTAAACTTTTTTCAACGGCAAAATACAAATTGACTAACAGTATATACAGAATATATATTTAAACCATATTTATAAAGAAATAAAATAAATAGACAAACGTGATTACTCCTAGTCAAAGGATTCAGAAAAATTTCAATTCGTTGTCATTAATTAAAAGCTTTTGCTTAAGTTTGTTTTTAAAATGTTTAATAGAAGAAATAGTTTTTAACTCATTATTCAATAGCGTGTTCTGTAGTTTAGGACCTCTATTTGCAATTGAAAACTTAGTAACAGAGTAATAGGTTTTAGGTTGAACATAATTGTTTTCTGAAAATCGTGTTGGGTATTGATGATTTATTTTTTCCAAAAATGAGTCAAATAAAATAGGTGATATTTTTTTATTAACTTTGAACATAAAAATAAGAATTTGATAAAGATTTAGTTGAAATACGTTGAGAATATTAATTTAATGAATAGAGGTTTAGTGTGTAAGAAACGATCTACATTTCCAATAATTCTTACGGCATGCTTTTGTTTAATCCATAGTTTATTTATTTTGGTTGAATTAGTGCTACACCAGGCAACGTTTGCATAACTTAGGTCGCTATGAATAAAAGAAAAATAAATGTATTTTAAATCGGTTTGATTTAATAACAGCTTAGCTTTGTAAAGTAGACCAATATTTTTCGAAAATTTATTGTGAATTATATTTATGTGCTCTTTCCAACTCACATTTTCATCAATAACAACATCAAGAAATAGCAATGAACTCTCTCTTACTATACAGAGTTATTTACAACTAAGTTTGGAAGATTTAATGGGATAATTCTCTTTTCATGAAGACGATGGAAGAAAGTATGTTTTGTTTTTTTTATGTTTATGGATAATTTATTTGCTATAAACCATTCGCTTAGTTTTGCAAGCTCTTTGTTTACTGTTTTAAATAAAGAAATAATATCCTTATCAGAATAAAGTAAGTTAGTATCGTCGGCAAATAGGATTGAATTTAAGATTCTTGAAAATTTATTTAATTTGTTTATATAAATGAGGAACAAAAACGGCCCTAAAATTGATCCTTGCGGGACGCCGCAAGAAATTGTTGCTAAATCCGTTTTACTATAATTAAACGAGATATATTGTTTCCTGTTTGTTAGATAACTTTTAAACCAAGCTAAGTTATAATTTAAGATACCATAATTTTTTAGTTTGTGCAGGAGAATATTATGATCCACCGTATCAAAAGCCTTACTTAGATCAATAAAGACGTCTTATGTAAATTTGTTTTCATCAAAACCTTTGAGTATTTTGTGTATTAGATGAATGATTGCATGATCGGTTGAATGGCCAGATTTAAACCCAAATTGCTTATCGTAAAGAATATTATTAATAGTTATAAAAGAATAAAGTCTGTTATACTGTAGTTTGAGACATCAGAAGAATCACCTGATTTATAGATTGGTGTAACCTTTGCACATTTTAAGTTTTCAGGAAAAACCCCGTGCTTTAAAGATAAATTTAAAATATGTAAGAGTGGTATTTAATAATTCATCTTCTGTAAGTTCATGATTAGACATGACAGTTATATTAGGTGTTAGGTATGAACGAAAGTTTCTCTGAAATGGTCCTATTTTAGAGGCTAAATTTGAACCTACATTAACAAAAAAGTTATTAAGTGTTTCTGCAACTAATGGTTTATTTACAATTAAGTTATTATTAATTTTAAGATTAGTTGGGAGTGCATTTCGGTCCAGATTTTTTATGCCAATTACCTCTTTAATAATTTTTGTGTACTGTTGTTTCTCTTTAATTTTTCAAAATAATAGTTTTTTTTTGAGCGTTTTAGAACAGATTCAAATAAACGTCTATAACTTTTATAAGTAGTTTCATTTACCAAAGTTCTTTTTTTAAGAAATTTACAATACAATTGCTGTTTAATTTTGGAAAATTTAAGGATTCCCTTTGTTACCCATGGGTTTAAAAACGTTTTTGATTTGACTAATTTAGTAATTTTAGGGAATGCTTCAATATAATGAGTAAGAAATTCGGTAAAAAAAATATCGTAAGCTTCATTGGCCCTTTGATTTTTTAGCATGTCGTTCCAATTTACGTACGATAAAAGATAATGAAAATATTTCATGGATGTTTCGTTTATAATACGTGTTGTAATTTTTTTTTATAAGCATCAGGCTGAATGCATTTATTTAATATTATAAAAATCGGAAACTGATCCGAAATATCCGTTTTAAATATTCCAGTTTTGTAAATTGTAGTTAGTGGAAGTGAATTATTATTAAAGATTATTAAAAAAAGAATAACTCTTTACAATTTTTGGTGGTAGCTGAATAAAAAATCTTAATATCATATTTTAATTTCAAGTTATAAAGCATCGAAGTTGTGTACTGCCCTGATAAGAAAGAACACAGTTTTTTTTCACAATACTATTCATTGTTATTTCCTTGACTTAGAGTGTAAGTAAGAGCACCGAATGTGATCTCAAAAATTTTTTATTATCACAGCATCTGCAGAGAATATAGCAAATTTGAACTTTGAAAGAAAACAGAAATTGTGTAAAATTGATATTTTTCAGATACTGTGTTCTTTTTTATCCAGGCAGCGGGTATCCAGCGGGTATCCATATTATATCCAGGCAGCGGATATTTTGATTATATACTTTATGTTTGATGCAACTTCAGAAAAAATTTATCAACTTCTAGAGTAAATTTTATAATTTAACTCTAACCTTCTAAATATTTATTTATGTATTTTATCTAAACGCACATATTTATCTTATTTCTGTTCTGTATAACCAAAGTATAAAGGCGAGAAAAATGTTAATTGCAATAATAAAATTATTACTGTAATGAAAAAACTTTATTGTTTTCCTCATTTGAACTCTTAAATTTAAACTCAATTCTCATTTAAACATGGTTAGGAAGTTCAAACACGGATAGGAATAGATAATTTTTTCAATAAACAAATTTGTTTATTCGTTTCAAATCTCAATTTAAATTAAATGCTAACCCTTTAGATTTATTCTCAACACTTTGCGCAGTATTGGGGAGCTTAAAACGTGTGTAAATTACGGAAAGAATTGTAAATTACTTTCCGTAAATTACACATTGATAAACTGGTCGATATAACGAGAAAATTATTATCACAAGTTCCTTGTGTAGCAAGCAATTTTCAGTCGAACTAGGTAAATTCTAATGTAAATTCTAATAATCCATAATGTAAACTCTAATAATCCAGGTAAATTCTAACAACCCATACAAGTGAAATATGGGATGGAACAGAGTAGCCCCAATTTCTGACTTTTCTAAAATAGTAAAGAAAAGTTAAAAAATAACACGCCTTGGACATATTGATTTTAAAAACAATTGAAAACAACTTCTATAATCCTTTCTATAATCTTAAACCATACTTTACATAAGCGATTAGGTAAAAATTAAATTTATAATATTTTACATATAATTGTATGTAAAATATTATAAGTTAAAACGGCCCCAGGTTTAATTTTAATTACAGTTTTCGTATTCTTATCTGTCAGATTAAACTAATAAGTATGAAACTTAAGTTTCATACTTATTTGATCGATCTCACAGATAAGAATCACGGATAAGAAGAAATTTAACCTGGGACCGTATTCACACTCTGTTTAACTTAATGGAGAGTTAGGTAAAAATTTATTTTTAACTATATTATTAACAAAATTATTTATGATAAACTTCGGTAACGAAGTTTATCTAATGTTCTGTATTAAGGCAGTTACAAAAATTGGCTTAAGTGCGCAGAATAAATTTAAAAACATTAGCATAAGTGCAAAGCAGTTGCAAAAACTGACACAAGTGCGAACTGGCATAAGTGCGAATTGGCATAAGTGCGAACTGGCATATGTGCGCCAAACAAATTTGCAAACATTGACATAAGTATAAACTGGCTTAAGTGCGAAGCAGTATCAAAAACTGGCATAATTGCGCCGAATAAAATTGCAAATATTAACATAAGTGCAAATAAGTATTTTGCATTTATGCCAATGCTTGCAAATTTAGTCAGCGCACTTATACCAGTTCACATTTATTCCGATTCGCACATATGTCAGTTTTTGCAACTGCTTAGCACTTATGCGAATGTTTTTAAATTTATTCGGCGCACTTATGCCAATTTTCGTAACTGCTTCGCACTTATGCCAATATTTGCAAATTAGTTCGGCGCACTTATGCCAAATCGCACCGAATCGAAACAAGCTTGTATGTTTTTTAGTTAAATAGTTTAAAAAGATTACTTGGGTTAATGATTAAAGGTGGTGGTTACAGTCAAGAATAACCGTTGCCTTTAGCCAATGTTTGAAGTGAATAAAAAGTTTAGAATCAACGAAATTTATTTTTATAATTTGAATTTTTTTATGAAGAGCGCCAAATGTTTTAAAGGCTTAATTTAATTGAGCGTTATCATAAGTGATGCAAGCTAAAAATTGTTCTAGAAATCTGTAAATTAAAGTAATAGAGTTGATTAAGGTATTATGAATACCAAAGGCAAGAATTAGGATATTTTCATTAATAATTGGTCCGAAATTTTGCGAATAAATATTTTTTAGGGATTCTCTTGATCCACTTAGATATTTGATCGCTGATGATGGCACCCAAAGCCACAGAATTTTAGATATTTGGGCCAAAGCCACAGAATTTTTTAAAAAAATAGCGAAATTGCTTATATTACCCAGACCACATGATAATATGAGCAATTTAAATTAGCTCAAAAAAATAACAAAGAAAAATTAACCTGACTTTTAGAATTAATTTGTGGAGTATATCGCACAGTGTGCCCAAGACATGAAAAAATTCCTTTTTCTGACCTTTTATTTTTTCACTTTAAATAGTATTTTTATAATGTGTAGGATGTGTAGGACATATGTTGGTCAGTGCAAAAAAAGTTTTGAAATTCATCAAACCATTTTGTTTTTTTAGCTGATTAAAGTTGAAGAACATATTGACGCAATATATTTGTCTTAAAATTGTACCAATTCTGTTTTTTAACAACAACTTTGAAACGCTATACATTAAAAACTACTCCATGAATTTAAAAAAATTTTTCTTTTCTGGTTTGTAAATAATACTTAATTTGTGAATTACTTAATGAAAAATAAAAACTGAAATTTAAACATTTTTTTTGTGCACTTTTATTTATACCTAAAAAAATTCTAAAATATATGAAAATATATTTTTTTAATCAAAAAGAAAGTAACAGGAAAAAAAAGGCCGCAGGAGGCCGCAAATAAACTCAAATGTTTTATTAAATATAGACCTTCTATTTTTATGTGTAAAAATTTCATAGTCCGGTTATCCCCGAAAATTGAGTAATTTAAATTTGAAATTTAATTGTTTGTACGAGTTGATATTCGAGGTTGCGTAATTATGAAAATGACGATTCAGGAATATCTGTTGATAACATGCGACAAAATGTTATCGATAAAAAAAAAGAGAATTAGAAAAAATTTTACTAACCTTGAACATCAAATTAAGTTCATTTGAAAAATCTAAGCTTATTTTAAAACAATCAAAGGGAGATATAATCTAACTATAGAAGATGGAAAAGATAACATCAAGAAAATTTTAAAGCAAATTGACAGACACGTAAAAAAATATACTATAATAGCACACATTAGCTTGCATCAAATGTGTGCACATGCCTGGGAACTATTTGTTATTACAGGTGGATCACCCATTGCCAAGTACTCCGAGCAATCAGGCGAAAGTTGGAATAAAAACATTAAGGTTTATAAATCAGGAACAAGTTGTAAAGCAAGACAAATGTCCTTGCAAATTAATACACATGACATTTACTGCAGACTGATGATAAAGACACATCCAATTATTGCCAGTAAAAAAAAGACTTTTGCAATGTGGAAATGTGGAAAATTTGGACATACCATAAGAGGGTGTAAAGTAGACGAGAACAACGTACTTAATGAAGAAAAAATGATAATTCAAGAATGTTTTATGTGACCATAAAAAATAGATAGGACTAATATCTGTGTATATTTGTGTTTAATATCAAATTATGATGAACTCAAATATATTTCATTATGAATTGGATATAATATCCTTTTCTAAGCCACCTTGCAAGCTATTAACTTGCTAGTCACGGGGATCAAGGAGCTATTTGTTATATGGGACGGGGGGCGGAGAAAGACAAATTAAAAAAAAAAAAATATTTTTTAATTTATACTTTATAGTTTATTTGAAAATTTTGAAAAAAGTAAGAGCATGACTCTCGGCGCCCCTCCCCTCCCCTATCGTTGCCCCATTCTCTGGGTTAGAGTGCACACACGTAAAATTTAACTTCAGAATCAGATTCGTCAGCCCAAAAATGTAATATATTAAAATTTTCAAAAGATTTCATTAACAAATAACAAATTTATGAATTTTTTCCAAAAAACTACATTCTGGGCACACAGTGTATCGATTTGTTATTATTAAAATTTATCATTAAAAGATCAAATTTTAGGCCATTTTTAATTGAAACATACAACTTTTTGCAAACAATTACAACTTCACGCAAAAAAATTTTAAAAAATTCAAAAATTGTTATTTTTTAATTTTGTTAACTTTAATCGATAAAAATACAATTTCAATTTAATTTTGTTAATTTTAATCGATAAAAATACAAACTTTTTGATTTTAAATTACAGAAAGATATTTAGTATTGTTAAAATATTAAAATTTTTTATTTTATTTTTATTTTATTTAAAAAGCTATTAAAACCACCGCAGTTTAAGGACTTTAAATTAGGTAATTTCAATAAAAAGCACTGGGTAATTTCATATTACACGAAAATAATGTCGCTAAATGAAGTTAAAAATGTTTTTATGCATTTTTTTCCAAACAAAAATGGAACGGATTTCTAGCTAATATATTTTCTTTATGAAAAAATAAATTTCTATATTGTAACAACAAAATTTCGCGCCAAAGATTTTTTTATGCGTAATAATAAAACTTTAACAACACAAAAAATTAAGAGTTTTAATTAAATGAGAGCCGTTAATTACTGTGTAATACGATGCTTTCTATTATCACCGCATAAAGTCAGATCAAAAAATACAAAACTTGAACTTTACTACCCAAATTTTAGAAATCTTTTTGTATGCTCATATTACCTAGGTGCTCATATTACCCGAATCTACCCTAATAGTTTTACGCATAAATAACTTTTCTACTCGTTTAAAAATAATAACGAAACTTTTAAAAAACTAAAATGAAAAAATAATATCGAAACAATTGAAAGTCTTGAATGTATTTTAGTTTAAAAAAGTTTAAAATATTCATTTATCGATATAATGGTGTAAACAAAAAGAACATTTTATAGAACAGTTTAAAGACGAACAAAAAAAAAATCAATGAAGATCGATATTAAAATGTTAAAAAATGTTTTATAAAACAAGTTAAAACACTGATAAGGTAGGAATGCAAAATAAATGCCGTTGGACTTATATCTCGCGAGTGTTGATACAAGAAATTAAGAATTACAAACAAAGTTCCTTCTGCCATTTCGTCATCAACTTTATTCTAAATTATAAAAAAATGCGACTATTTAATACATAGCTATTATTACAAAATCTTAACAGTTCTTTTCAAAATGTAAATTAAAAAAAAAAAAGAATTTACAAAGTGGTAACCGATAACAAACGGAAATTATTCCTTTATCTAGTACCCTTAAGAAATAAAAACAAATAATACATTTTTAGCACATGAGTAAAGTAATCTGGCTACCATTTAAAATGATATTTTAAAAAAAGGCTTTGTATTTTGGATAGGTTTTTAATAGATAATAAAAACAAATCAATATTCAGTGCAAACATTGTTTAATCGAACTTAAAATCCATTTATCAACTTTTTTAGCACAGTTTTTTAGCAAAAGTTTTTTAGCACAAACGTGAAAATTTGTCGACCAAAAAGTTTCGGAAAAGTAAAAAACTTTGTGTAGTTGCCAAGTACTTATTTAATAAAATAAAAGTATTTAATAAAATAGGTATAAGTAATATAACATATAAATATAGTAAAAAACTTAAAAATATAAAATTTATAATGACTAGATAACTTAAGAAATAAAACTTCCTGATGATCGACACGGTATAAAATCAATTATTATAAACTATGGAAACTTAACTTAAACTTAAAAAATTAAAAGAAAAAAAATTAAACGAAAAAGATTTTTTATTTCTCTTATGTCTTTATATTTTAGGTTATGTATAACTATATTTTATATTTTAGGTTATAAATATTCAGGTTTAAAGTTATAACTATATTCAGGTTTAAGGTTATAACTATATTCAGGTTTAAGGTTATAACTATATTCAGGTTTCAGGTTATAACTATATTCAGGTTTAAGGTTATAACTATATACTTCAGGTTGTTTCTTAATTTAAATTCTTCAATTACTTTAAATGATTAGAATATTTAATGCCTTAACGCATTTATGGACCGAGGATGCAATGCAAGCAAAGGTTAAGTGTAACACAGCCACAATCTTGTGCTGCAAGATCAAACCTACAAGTGTCACTGTTCATTAATTTGCAAATTAAATGCTATTGCAGAATTTTTTAAGAAAAACAAGAAATTACAAAAAAAAAAAAAAAAACTATTATGTGTGCGTGTGTATATAAATAAATATTTAATTGGTTTAAAATACCATGCTATAGTGAAGACCTAACCTTTTATAATAGAGCGTTTTTTAAGAACATATTTGATAAAAAAAAGAAATAAAACCTTAAGAAGAAGAGTAAAACAGGATAAAACGTAATAGCGTAACGTAATAGCGGAATGAAAAAGTTATGACAATGTTTATTCTTTTGCTCTTAATTAATTATTGGATAATCTTTTTGATATCAAATTTTATTTTTGATGAAAAAAAATTGTTATAAATATTTCCCCCCCCTCCCTCCCCTTAGAAAGTTAAAAAATTTTTTTTTTTTGTAAATTTCTATATTAAACACAGCAAGTTGTTTGAAAACGGAATCAATATAGTTAGGCTGTCTAAATAAAATTACAATTTTAATAAAGTTATGTGGTGCAAATTCAAAATTGTGTGACTGCTTGCTTACAAATCATTAAATCTGAAAATCGCCCCTCACTTACTAGATCGTCTGCATCCCCCAAATCGAAAAATATTTAAAATTGCCCCCCTTACAACATGGTCTGGATCTGCCCTTGATTTAAGCATGAGATTGTCAAAACAACTTGAATCAGTTTTGGTAGATATTAGATATAATCTAATAATAGTTATCTAAGTTTAGGTATTCATATTTTAGTCGTAGATGGACATGTGAGACATGTCACTTATGGGGTTGTACATATTTGCATCAAAAACAATATCTTGTTAATTTGCTTACCAGTTTACTTGTGACATATTCTGCAACCATTAGATGTTGGTGTTTATTGCCAAGTCAAAAGAGTTTGGCGCAAACTAATTGGACAGTTTTATGCAGAGACAAAGTTTAGCAACTTATCAAAAGAATGTTTTAGTCACCTGCAAAAAAAACTTTTCAGATCTGGTGAAGTTGTTACATGTACCCAAATAGTCACTGGGTTTCATAATACTGGCTGGTTTCCACTCGATATCAATAAAATCAATCAGTCAAAGTTGCGAATTGCTAATACATTTGAAACACTGTCATCTGAACCTGAACCTTCATCATCTCAACAACCAGAATCTATGATAGTACCATTACCAATACTAGCACTAGAAACTACACTACCTCAGCCACTCTGAATGTACACAAAAATCTGGCATCAGCATATGTCACATAGTATCAGTTTCAAAGTCACCCCATCTGCAAACAACCTTCAATGTTGTAGTAACTCCAGCTATTCAAAAGGAAATTCAAAAAGAGGATGAAAAACAACTGCAATCAGTCCAATCATGTTGATACACATACAAAAAAAAGTAGATGTGCCAAGATTTGAAGGGGAGTGTTTCAACAAACCTGAAATACTTGATGATGAAAAAAAAAGATGCTGAGAGAATGAACTTTAGTAGATAACACAAGAGATGCTAGCTCTTTAGAGCATTGCCGATTTATATTATTTATAGAAAAGAGAAATAGAAGCAACATTACGACTATGTGACAATGGCTGGAGGTTGGCTGCAAGAGCAGGTCCAACTATGTTTACAATGCATTTTTGCACCTTGTCTAAAATAGAAATGGCATCATTGGAAGATCTGCCATAGATATGACAACAATATTCCATACACAGACGAATTTGAGATTTAGAGAGATAAAGAAGAGAAATTTCAGAGTAAGAAAGTGTTGAGCACAATAAAGAGATGCAAACTTAGCAGATGCTAATTTTGCAATGGATTTGATATATGGTTTCCAAGAAAGATAGGAAGTTAGTTAATCCTAGAAAATGAAGAGTAGATGACTTATCGAGTACATTATCGCTAAAATATACAGGTAGATCTAGATTGTTGTGATAACGATTGGTAAATAACGATTGAAAAAAATTGGGTCTTATCTGAATTAAAGTTCACCAGCCACTGTAAGCTCAAATGCCCCCTCCAAGCAATCAACCAGTTGTGGCTTCTTATCAAGACAAAAATAAATATCATGGTAATATCATCAGTAAACAATGCTACCTTAGATTGTTTATGTAGATTAAAAAGAGTATAGGGCTAAAGATTGAACCTAGAGGAACCCTTGAAATTACAGAATATGAAGAAAAGTGCTGTCCATCAAGGACAACTTTTATCCTACAATTGGAATGGAAGGATTCAACAATCGTAAAGATGTTACCTGATAAGAAGGAAAGATGTTAACATAAAAAGAAAGCTTATGGAAAAGATCAGCATGCTAAACTTTATCAAAAGTTTTAGAAATGTCGAAAGCGATAGCCTTACCTCTCCACTTCGCTGCACAATAAAACCTAACAGCAAATCAGCTGTAGAGCTAGAAGATCAAATTCCATATTGATGATTAGAAAGTAAGTTATTAGATTCAAGATAAGAGATTAAGTGTTTCTTAATTAAAGATTCAAAAACCTTGCCTATAATAAGAAGAAGACTAATGGGACGATAGTTAGATGAGTCAGATGGCTCTCCAAATCTTTCAATTTTTGAAAAAAAGGATAACAGATGCCGCTTTCTAGTATGTTGGAAAACAAGACCCTGATAAGCACAAAGTATAGACAACAGCTTGGGAAAACACTTTAACAAGACTTTAACAGGTTTAACAGGTTTAACTTGTACAGTTGACAGGTTTAACAGGTTTAACAGGTTTAACTTGTACAGTTATGTTGTCTGGATCACAAGCTGTAGAAGAGTCTAAACAGGAAATCACTATAGATACAGAAGCTGGATTGATACGAATGTCAAGCAATGAATCAATCTGTTTGATGGCTCTATCAGGTAGAACGCAACTAGTGGAATCAAGAGATGATATTGATGAAAAGTTCTTAGCAAACAATGTAGCTTTGTCTTAAGGTGAGGTGACAAAAACTGAACCATATAAGAGAGGTGGAACAACGGATTTGCCTTTACTATTGATACTGTTAAAGATTCTTCAGAAGTCACGAGAGCCTAATATTTGAGATGAAATACAAGATTTTGTGGCCTGATAAAGCAGGTTTTGGCGTTAGACAAAATCTTTTTACAACGGTTTCTAGCAATAGTAAACAAACATCTGTTTTCTGAAGAATTGTTTTGGTGATAAATATGGAAGTACTAGTTTCAATTGGAAATTGCAGCAGCATAGTGTGAGGAAAACCATGGAGAAGAGTGAGGCCTGACTTGCAATCCTCAAGAGGGAATAAACGATTCCATGCCAGCCTGAGTCCAAGTAGTTATATAAGAAATACATTTGTCAGCCGGAAGACGAAAGATTTCTACTCAAATGAGTGAACTCTTACAAATGTAAAGACCTTAAGTAAATTATGAATGTAAATTAAGAAGATGAAGGAGAGATATAGAACAAAGAAAAAGGCGATAGAGTGAAGTGATAGTAGTGCTAAACGAAAGCGGTGGATTCAAATCCAGTTTCTCGACAAATGAGAAAATTCTTAAGAATGTAAAGACCTTAAGTAAACTATGAATGTAAATTAAATTAAGAATGTAAATGTTAATGTCCACCTGTTTTAATTTTTTGTTGCAATTTTTATTGTTACCTCTTCTTACTTGTTATCTCTTTTCACACATAAAATAAAATAAAAATTTTAATTTTGAATGTTTCTTGATATGTTTCAGAACTGCTTGTTTCTGAAGTATTTAACACAATTTTAAACCAATCTTAATTGGCTAAAGTGTTTCAAAGCTTAAAACATGTAAAATATACAAGTATCCTGATAATCTAATAATAGATCTAAATATGTAGTAAGAAAGTTTTAAGAAGATTTTAACAGAACCCAGACTTTAATAGAAGATAAATCAATGAAACATATAGCTAGAAAATGCTCATTGCAATGAAAATGCTCAATGCAATGAAACATATAGCTAGAAAATATTCATTTTACAAATAAAAATAAATATTAATTAGTATAAACTAAGATAAAAAGAGAGAAAAGTAATTGATAAAATTCAAAAATATGATAAAATTTTACCTTGCTGTTCCATCCCATATCATGAATGTATTTAATTAAAGAAGGATCGTCTTTTGATAGTGGAGGTGTGTATTCTTTAGAATACTCTCTTCTCCACCACTTTTTAATTTTTCTAAATTAAAAAAACAAAATTTTTTTCTTTAAAAATTACAAATTAAAGTCTGATATTAGATATTATTATTTATTATTATCACTGAACTTCCAGTTTAAAAAAAACATAAACTTCATATGTATAAATCTGTTTAAGTGTAAAAACTATGATTAGATATAAAGCTGCCTATTACATTACCATACATTGGGATTTGTATAGTTCATTAGCTAGTAGCATAACGACAAAAAAAGGCCATTTCTAACCTCCCTTCCCTGCAAAACCTAAAATTGGACCCCTAAATTCCCCTCCCCCACATTCTTGACAAAAAAATTATACATGAAAACAACCTTTTTCTTAAACATAATTTTAATTTAATGACATAGAAACCAGTATGTTACAGAATGTCTAGTAACCTAAAAATCTAATGAGTGTTTGTTTCTTAACTTCATAGCTGCAAATCGGTCTAATCTTTTAAATTTAATTGAGCTGCTGATTCTGCTTCAATAGTTAACAGGGTTAGCGCATAAAAACAGTCTTAGGCTTGAATGATGTTGTCCTTAAATGCATTTTAATTCTTTTTAAAGAGCTAAAAGATCTTTTTACAGTTATCATGCTAACAGGTAATGTCAAATATAACATACCTGTTGCAATTATTAATGATCAATTTATAATATTAATATGTTACAAATTTCAACTTATAATACTAATATGTTATAAATTTCAACTTATAATATTAATATGTTATGTTTGCATAGCATATTTATTTAGAAGATTTTTTTTAATACAATCTTTTGAACTGTTATCCTGTTTTAAGACAATTGTATTACTAAAATAGCTCAAATGTCATACTTTGTGTAATGTTATGACATCATTTTTTGCACTTAATAAAACTGCATATTATTTTATTATTTTGTAAATTATTTTTTGTAAATTAATGTTTACGCTTAATTTTTTAATATAAATAAATAAAAATAGTTGTTCACTATTTAAAATCTAAAATAATAATCTGAAAAAGAATTCTTAGTAATAATCGGCATGTTGATATGTTTATATACATGCATGTTATTTCATAATGAGGTTGGTTGGCTAGGGCTTCTATTAACTCTGGTTATCCCCTGGTCATTGACAATATAAGCGTAGTAGCTATTAACATTATTACATTTTGGCTAGGGCTCCTATTAACTCTGGTTATTCCCTGGTCATTGACAATATAAGCATAGTAGCTATTAACATTATTACACTGCTGTCTATAGGCGTGAAAAACCTCAAAATCCACTTTGAACAAACCTCTGCTGTGAATGTTAATGGAATCATATTTTACATCAAATAAGGTAAAATATGATTCAAGTAACATTCACTAAAATTGATTAAATGACCTGGTAATAGATGTAGTGGTAGTAGATGTCACTACCAAAAAAATAAAAAAAATAAATACAAAAAAAGAAAGGAAAAATGATTTAACACAGGAACTCTAGTTAGAAACAAATAATTGGATTGCAAAATTGAATTTGCTTAAAGTTTGGAAATTTTGAAAACATAACATAAAGCCATTATTTTGTCAAAAACTACAGGATCATTACTATTTAAATTGTCTTTAAAACTGTTCCTATATTATTTTACAAAGAAAATTTTACAAATCATAAAATTTTTTATATTGTTTAAAATCAATTAGAACACAACAACTTGTGATAAATTCATTATAATAACAAAAATGCATGCAAAACTTTTAAAACATGGATACGAAACATTAAAAAAATCAACAGAATAATTAAATCATTGATTATTCCCACTAATATAATAAAAAAGCCAACTTTAAAAAAAAAAAAAAATTCACCATTATTAAATCATAATTTAAATAAAAAAACATAATTTTTAAAAAAAATATTACAACTTTAAAAAAACTTTTATCAACAAACTTTAATTTGTTAAAAAATCTTGTTAAATATGTCTTCAAAAACTTGTTGCATTTATTATAAAGTGAAAAGTTTGACAGTTTGGCAATTTGTTTGTAAGGTTATTTGTTTGTAATACAATTTTTTAAAGGCAATTAGACAATTTGTTTGTAAAGGTAGTTTGTAGTTAGAAATTTGCTTGGATTATTAAATAGTGTACTGAGTTCTATCTCTGCTTTGAGCCAAGTTCTTTAACAAATTTAAAAATGCCTAAAGTACCAAAAACTATAAAACACAAAAAAACATCTCCTTTACCAAGTTCTCTAAACCTATCATTCACTAATATTTGTGGTCTTTAAAGAAGCTTTTTTTCTGTTGAGTCTAATCTCTTGCAAAGTTTACCAGACCTACTTGCTCTTAATAAAACTAATTTAAGTTTGGCTGTTTAATTTTGTGATTTTAGTGTTGATGGTTATCTTCCTTTAATTAATAAAGACTCCAATAGTCACATGGTTGACCTGGGGATTTACATTCGTAAGAATTCATGAATTTGTCAGGAAACTAGATTTGAATCCGCCAACTATTCTTTTATATGCTTTTTTTAAGAACCACTTCACTCTATCTTCTCTTTGTTTTACATCGCTCTCCTTTATCTCAAGACTGCACTCTTTTCGATGTTATTTCTGATCAAATTGACCAAGCTATCTCTCTCTTTATCAACCAGCAAATGTTGTTGCTGTTGTTGGTGACCCACAACTTTTGCCTAACTCAAATAGTCAATTTTCCAACTGCCTTTCCAGACAACCTGAATCATTTAATCTATTTCTTTACTCGACTTATGTCTCTGATCCTAATCAGAGCTCAGTTTCTCCACATTCACTTTTGGGTGCTTCTGATCATGGTTTGAACTATTATCTCATTCTTCTTCATCATCAGAATCCCCCTATCATCATACCTATTACAACTACCATAAAACTGACTGGGACTTTTTCATTGAGATGGCTCTTGGTAAAAATCTTTCGACTTCCTGCTAACAAATGTGCTTCTTACATAACTTCTTGGATTCAGGCTGGCATGGAATCTTTTATTCCCTCTTGACGATTTCAAGTCAAGCCTCGTTCTTCTTTATGGTTTTCCTCAAATTGTGCTGCTGCAATTTCCAATCAAAACAAGTACTTCCATATCTATCAGCAAAATGATTCTCCAGAAAACAGATATCTTTTTAGTATTGCTAGAATTTTTTGTAAAAAGATTTTTTTTAATACCAAAACCCGCTTTATCAGGCCACAAAACCTTGTATTTCATCGTATTAGGCTCTCGTAACTTCTGAAGAATCTTTAACAGTATCAATAATAAGGGCAAATCTGTTGTTCTGCCTCTTATATGGTTCAGATTTTGTCACCTCACCTAAAGATAAAGCTAAATTGTTTGCTAAGAACTTTTCATCAATATCATCTTTTGATTCCACTAGTTGCATTCTACCTGATATAGCCAACAAACAGGTTGATCCATTGCTTGACATTTTTATCACTTCAGCTTCTGTATCTATAGTGATTTCCTGTTTAGACTCTTCTACAGCTTGTGGTCTGGAGAACATACCTGTTAAAGTCTTGCAGAAGTATTCTCCAGAAATGTCGTCTATACTTTTAAAACTATTTAATAAGTGCTTATCAGAGTCTTGTTTTCCAGCAGCATCTGTTATCCCTATTTTCAAAAATTTTGGAGAACAATCTGACTATCGTCCCATTTTTCTTCTTCCTAATATAGGCAAGATTTTTGAATCTTTGATTAACAAACGCTTAATCTCTCATCTTGAATCTAATAACTTACTTTCTAATCATCAATATGGAATTTGATCTTCTCACTCTACAGTTGATTTGCTAACAGTTATAACTGATAGGTTTTATCATTTGCTAGATAGAGGTGGAGAGGTAAGGATAGTCTTACCTCTTAACACTTTCTTACTCTGAATTCTATTCTTTATCACTATAAATCTCAAATTTATCCGTGTATGGAATATTGTTGTTATATCAGGGGGGGATCTTCCAATGATGTCATTTCTATTTTAGACAAGATGCAAAAACGCATTGTAAACACAGTTGGACCTGTTCTTGCAGCCAACCTCCAACCATTATCACATAGTCTTAATGTTGCTT